CCTCTGCCATCTAATTAACCGTTTAGAACTTTTCCCTGTACACTCCTTATAGTTGTGTCCTAGATAGCCACGGGCTCTCACGAAGATTCCTTCGTGCTAGCAAATTCGAGGATATAGTGAACATCCTGTGTTATCATACATCTCAGGACCGGACACAATAAGTCATTCAGGGAAGGATCTAGCTAAACTACAAAACTTCAAACACAGGATTTCGTGACGTTGGAATAACATTTTTAAAGTTGTGAAATTTGCATTCAAATCGTTCATAATGCACATTTTCTTGCATTTCACATATAGTAACTGTTGTATCAAAATATTATATTATTACTGTGAAACTGAGAAAACCGTGAATGCCAGAAATATTTAAGGATTATTATCGCGTAGCAAGTAAAAAGCCGATTAAGCCTGAGGAAATTAAAGCGCAAACACCAGCAGTAATAGGCCATGTTCGATATATCAATATTCTAACATGGCTCCGAGGCTTTTTAGGACAAACTTCTACGTTTGGTGGTGTTTTCTTTGTATCTAGGTCTCTTTGGTGAATTGAAAGACAAATGAAACTCGAAACCTTCGGATCGATGTTAGAATATTGATGTATCGAACGTGGCCTATTGGTTGTGGTTTTGAGGTTTTCTCGCGCGTCCTGAACTTTATTGTGATTGGTTCAGTACCAAATTTACCTTCTGGAATCAAATCCAAATGTTCACGGTTTTCCGAGTTTCACAGTAATAAAAAAAGCGGTTGCATGAATTTTAAGTCCACTGTCCAAATTCCGAAGTCCTCGTATTTCCAAATTTTATGTCGAGGCAACCATTTCCGGTCCGGGATCATTTACGGTACAATCTGGGGATCATTTCCGGTCCTGCGATCATTTGCAATACAATTTGGGGGTCATTTGCGGGCCGGATCATTTGCGGGGCTGTACAGACTCTTAGTCTCGCGAAATTCGAGACTCCGAGGCAGCTTCGTAGAAAAATCGAGACTGCGAGACGCACATAACCGCTAAAAAACGAGACTGCGAGACCCGTGAAATTCGACTAAAATTTTACGAGACCCAGAGTTTTTGAAGGACCATTCGCCACCCCTTTTGGTGGCTGGCAGTATCTCCATGCGTTGGAGTCTTTTGGCGAGAATATATTTCGGTAACACGACTGCACGGTTGCACGAGTACCACTCTCACCACAATTTTAATAGAACCCAGCCATTAAAAAGAAAAACTGAAATTAAATCAAAACGGTTCTTATGCAAATGTTTTCGAACATTAGATAAAAATTAAATTAAATTNAGGGAAGGATCTAGCTAAACTACAAAACTTCAAACACAGGATTTCGTGACGTTGGAATAACATTTTTAAAATTGTGAAATTTGCATTCAAATCGTTCATAATGCACATTTTCTTGCGTTTCATATAGTAACTGTTGTATCAAAATATTGTATTATTACTGTGAAACTCAGAAAACCGTGAATGCCAGAAATATTTAAGGATTATTATTGCGTAGCAAGTAAAAAGCCAATTAAGCCTGAGGAAATTAAACCGCAAACACCAGCAGTAATAGGCCACGTTCGATATATCAATATTCTAACATGGTTCCGAGGCTTTTTAGGACAAACTTCTATGTTCGGTGGTGTTTTCTTTGTGTCTAAGTCTCTTTGCTGAATTGAAAGACAAAGGAAACTCGAAAGCCTCGGATCGATGTTAGAATAGTGATATATCGAACGTGGCCTATTGGTTGTGGTTTTGAGGTTTTCTCGCGTGTCCTGAACTTTATTGTGATTGGTTCAGTACCAAACTTACCTTCTGGAATCAAATCCAAATGTTCACGGTTTTCTGAGTTTCACAGTAATAAAAGAAAGCGATTGCATCAATTTTAAATCCACTGTCCAAATTCCTAAGTCCTCGCATTTCCAAATTTTATGTCGGGGCGACCATTTCCGGTCCGGGATCATTTACGGTACAATCTGGGGATCATTTCCGGTCCTGGGATCATTTGCAGTACAATTTGGGGATCATTTGCGGGCCGGATCATTTGCGGGGCTGTACAGACCCTTAGTCTTGCGAAAATCGAGACTCCGAGGCAGCTTCGTAGAAAAACCGAGACTGCGAGACGCAGATAACCGCTAAAAAACGAGACTGCGAGACCCGTGAAATTCGACTAAAATTATACGAGACCCAGAGTTTTGGAAGGACCATTCGCCACCCCTTTTGGTGGCTGGCAGGATCTCCGTGCTTTGGAGTCTTTTGGCGAGAATATGTTTCGGTAACACGATTGCACGGTTACACACAAGTACCACTCTCACCACAATTTCAATAGAACCCAGCCATTAAAAAGAAAAACTGAAATTAAATCAAAAACGGTTCTTATGCAACTGTTTTCGAACATAAGATAAAAATTAAATTAAATTAAATTAAGGGTTGTGGTTTTAGGGGTTCTTTATAGGTGTTTGAAACATGTCACCCAAACACGATGAAAATCTCTGTAAATATGAAACGCTTAAAAATCACGATTAAGAGAGTGTCTCTGTAAGAGCGGTCCGGTCGATTTTGCTTGAGACACAGATTTAGCTCATTTCT